GGGGGGGGGGGGGGGCGGCCGGAGGCTTTTTCGCCTGGGGCAGCGAAAAAGCCAGAGCCGGCCCTGATTTTGAGACCACTTGAGGAGTCCAATCCACAGAAGAAACCAGCATAAGGCCTTTAAAAACTAAATGCTATAGAAGTGAAAGAACAGACTTTATAATTAAATTCACTATGAAAAAATATAAAAATAATCCCTGATCTTAGACGTGACTGTGTTGGTGGGTGCAAGGGAGGGATAGCTCAGTGGTCTGAGCATTGGTCTGCTAAACCCAGGGTTATGAGTTCAATCCTTGAAGGGGCCATTTAGGGATCGGGGGCAAAAAAAAAAAACCTGTTAGGGATAGTACTTGGTCCTGCTAGTGAGGGACTGGACTCAATGACCTTTCAAGGTCCCTTCCAGTTCTATGAGATGGGTATATCTTTTCTTTTTTTCTTTTTCTTTTTTTTAACTTGAAGGGTCAGAGCTTTAATTACCAACAGTTTTAGTCAGAAAATGGAACATGTCTTTTCTGTTGCTACTAAAACTCTATAAAATGTTCTTGTTCTTACTGGCAAATAAATTGGCATATTAAATTAACAGGCTTTGTTTTGTTTTAGGTATTAACTTTTAAAGAGATCAACTGGCAAATGATCAGAATAGAAGCAGATGCAATCCAGAGTTCTCAGCATGAAATAATGAGTGCTCCAGTTCGACTGATTACTAACCAATCAAAAATCAGGGTTACACTTAAAAGAAGGGTAAATTTGAAAACTTGTGAATCTGTGATATGTTTATAAATTCTTTCATTTGTTTTTGTATTTGACATTTATTTTTACAAAACACTCTGTATAGGTAGGCACACAGCAGAGATTCTGCACTTGGACTACATAAAATATGGCACTCTATAAATTTAAGATATTTCATCTTATTTTTCTGAGGAAGCATCATCAACAGAATAGTTTACCAAGCTCTGATTACAGTAGTTAGACCTATGCAATGGACAAGAAATAGAGCAGGCAAAATGCGAAGACCATGGGGTTATATAGGTTTAGCTAATGGTCTAATTTGGCCTGTATTGCCTTTATTTGTGTTGATGCGTAAGGAGGAAAGAATTCAGCTTTACTTCTCAGGGTTTAGGTTGAGTATGCAGGGTAGGCAGTTAGAAAACAGCATCTTTTTATTTGTAAATTGAGCATATTTGATATGAAAATCCTTAAGAGACAAACATAGAACTTCATAATACTATTTTACAGTCATTTTTACTTAGTAGGCAAATCATTCTTAAAATGAAATATTAATGTAATCTTATGGAAAAAGTGTCACATTTCTTGTGTATCACGTCCTTTGCATTTTAACTTATTTCTTTTCAAATACTCATTTCTTGCATCAAATGCAGTATTCCCATTTAGTTTTTAAAATTCATTTTCATTTATTCAACAGTTAAAGGATTGCAATGTAGTGGCATCAAAACTGGTTCTAATACTAGATGATTTGCTATGGGTTTTAACTGATTCCCAGTTGAAAGCTATGGTACAATATGCCAAATCTCTTAGCGAAGCAATAGAGAAATCAACTGAACAAAGAAAAAGCTTGGCTTCTGAACCCACACAGGTAAGCTAATTGGTTGACATAGCAAAGTTTTTTAGTAAATACGATACTCTAAAACACCATAATAAACAATTTGTTGGTTTAATTTATTTTGGAGTGCTCTTAGGTTATTCATTTTTGATCAAGAGTATCAGATTTTGCATCTTAAATCATGCTAAAAGTTATCGTAAGATCTATCAATTCTGAGTATCATGACAAGGAAGTAAATTCTATTTATTAAATCATGTATATGGAATATTTAGACATCTGTATTTATTTCAACGGTTGATTAAATGTGGTGTATAGTGTTGTGTTTACAATGGGAACCATTTTCTGCTTTTGAATTCCAAAATATGTTTAAAGAGAGACTTACACACTAGAGCAAATTTTGAGAGAAAGGGAGGATACTTACACAAAATTGAAAAGTACTGGTACAGTTTTATTTCTCTTTAGTGTTACTGAAAAATTATGTTTTAATACGAGCTTTTCCTCTAGCAACCTAGCCTCTCTTGTTTGAACTTGGAGTGAAATCATAAGTCTATATTTGATATCGTAATCTGTTACCATGGAAGTGATAATAATGCCACAAATAGAATATCGTATTATGCTGAAAACCTCCACATCCTATAACATACATAGCAAGACAGACTAGCTGGGCTTTGGAATCTTTTTCCCTTCTTTTGCTGTTCATGAAGAAGCAGAGAGACTTCTCTAACACCACTACTGTGGTCTGAGGTTGAAGTAGCCAAAGTGTCCCTCAATGAAGAATAATGGCCAGTGAATCTGCATACTGACAAATCCACTTTCACGCTCTTCCATCCAACCTTACTGCATGGACATGTAGCAGGCTTGCACAGGGACGAGTTGGGGAACACACTCTGTACACCAGCTGCATTATTCATTTATCGCCCTCTCTCACCATCATACAGCAGAAATCCTGCTGAGTTGGGGGCCTTCTCAAACAGAGTAAGATTTGGCCAATCAGATGCGACTGCAAAATCAGGTAGTAGTAGATGTGCTGTAAGAGAGCAAGCTCTCAAGCATAAGTAGCACTGATAAGTGGTAGACGTGAAAAAAAAAAAAACATAAAAGGATGTTACTATGAAGGCTGTTTAAATGAAGTTGCCGGCATTGAGTACTTGCAGGAAATGCAGTGCCTTAATCAGTAATTAGGGGTGAGATTTTCCAGGGCACATACAACAGTTGGGCATCTATCTCCCATTGACTTTCAGAGGGAGTTGGGAACCTAACTGCTACTTGTGCTAGTGAAAATCTCCCCCTAGAATTGTTTTTACATTTCAGTCTTAAAATGTTTGAAGTTCATGCTTTAAGGAAAAGTTTCTCTAAAGTTATGTGACTTAATTTTTTCAGAGTTCCACCCCTGCACCCACCTCTCAGCAAGTGAAAACACACCAGGCTTCAGCAACACTTGATCAGAATGATGCAATTGTAAAACTGTTCAGTGATTTTGATGTTAAGGAAACTTCTCATCACTTAGTAATTTCTCATTTGGACCTGCATATATGTGATGATATTCACTCTAAAGAAAAAGGTAACAAAAATTTCCTTTTCCAAAATTATTTATATCCTCAAACTTATTGTAAATTAGAAGACAGATTGAGAAGTCTATTAATGTTTGTGTTGTTTAATGTTAAATAACCAGAATAAAACTATATACAAATGTACATCCAAAGAGCCACATAGTCATTTTTTCTATTGTATAGCAGGCTGCTTTATATTTAATGGACATAGAAGAGATTAATAGTAATTAAAGAATCAGGATTTTTCAAAAGTATTTCCTTGATAGTAGCACCAGAGTTTCCAGCTACAAATTTATTGGCCTTATCTTAGGCATTGGGAGCCCATCGTGGCCAGTTAGCCCAGAATACGCTCCTGCAAAGTTATTTTTGTGATACCTCATTTTTTGATCCAATACTTTTGGCCATGGTGATTCACTGTAATGAAAAAGTGAAAATTTACTGATGTAGGTCAGGCATCTACATTGCTAAATATTGCCTTCTTTTATAGAATCAAACAGAAGTATTACAGGAGGAGCTATGCAGATTTCCTTTAGCCATTTAACTGTGGACTACTATCCTTTTCACAAAGCAGGTATGTGAAATATTTATTAGTATACTTATTAATTGTATTTTGGTTTTAAAGATAAAAATTAGTCAAATGTACAGAAGACATGGGCAATAATATTTCTACATACAAGTATTTGAAATATATACTTTTAAGGTCAGTTCAATACATTCATATCCATTACATATGGAATAAAAATACTGAGAACTGAACCAAAATTTTATACACTAGCTATTTAAAGCATAACTCTTTTGTTTAGTTAACAAAATACTTTGGACATAAATACAGTTGTATTGGAACACTGTAATCCATTTCATGTGAAGAAAGACGACACCAGGATTTGAATGTATTAATTTGAAATTTAAGGGAGAGCAAGGTACAATCTACTAGATGAGCAGTTCTCAAACTTTTTGTTGTTGATTCCTCACTTGATTCTACAAATGTGGTACAGAGATTCCCCAGAATTTCTTTAGTGCACTTAATTTTGTTAGTGTGCTCCTATGGAAATGCAATGAGCTTGCCATACAGCCATCATATTAAGTCATGGAAGAATTGGTTGACTGGCACCAGAATTGAAGCTTGACTTGCTAGTAGTAAATTCCAGACTAGGATTTGTTGCAAATCATTTTTGGCTAATAGATTTTTCCAGAAATCTAAACATTAAAAAATAATTTTTCTTTAATGTCCATTGTTAAATTTTGGCCAAAAGTTACCTTTAAATTTGGGATTAGCTACAGCTTGATATAGTGGACCTTCTTACATGGACTAGGGCAAGCCGTTCTTTTCTATTGTTTGTCTTGGAGGAGAAGGAATTGAAAAATTTCTGTCTGAGCTACAGTTATATTAAAACAGAAATTCAGTATAAGCTGCTGGATAAGAACTGATACTGTTGTGTTGGAAGGTGTTAATGGCCGCCATCAGTTACAGACCTGGTTAAAGTCAATGGATACAGGAAGCATCATTCGTTCAGGCTAGATGAAAGAGGAATTAAATGCCCCTACTGAAACAGTAGAAGCCAAGACATTGACCAACATGGCAGGTCCTGAGCAAAAGCTAAGCCAGAAGTTGGGGCAATTGATAGGTTGCAGCTGTGTGTCAGAGGTAGAAAGGGACCAGAACAAGCCAAGAGAGAGTAAACTGACAACAAGAGAAGCAGTCGTGAACATGTCCCTGAGAGGGAGCAGCGACAGTGCTCCTTGGGGCACAGGAGTTGTTGGAAAGGCAGGCTGGAAATCAGTGTTCCCTCTAATTTTTTTCCATCTATGTGCGGAATGAATTTTGGTATGTGCACCATATTGAGGTAATGTGCGGATGTGCACCACCAGTAGAAACAAAAAACCTAGATATAATATGTATTTTTAAAAGTTACCATAGGGATAATTACTCCAGCCAGGACAGGTTAGGCATTTTAGAACTCACTACTCAAAGAATTAAATTTAAGAGTAAGAGAGAAATAAAAATTATGAAATGCATAGACAAGTCAAAAAACTAAATCAAGATACTTTGAAAGAAATATCAAGTAACAGCAATCATGCAAGTATGTGTTGGGAGGTGAGTGTGAAAGAGTATGTCTCTGTGAGAGAGAGAGAGAGAGAGAGAGAGAGACGGACACACTTGTTTGTTTGTTTGTATGTGACAGAGAGAGAGACACACTGCCCCTTTTAAGTATGCTGCTCTTTTAAGTAGACCGGCACTCAGCAGTCTGAAGCCTTCTCGTTCAGACACAGCAACAGCTGCCAGCAAGCTCTCTCCGTCCTGAGCCCTGTCATGTCCGTCTGCCCTGCTCTATGGAGATGGAGTGCAAGGGAGGGGGACACCCTGACTTCAGCGCCCCTCCCCCTGCTCTGCACAGCAAGCAGGAGGATCCCAGGAGCAGCTGGCCAGGGGCTCCAAGGCAGAGGGCAGGAGCAGCGCAGCAGTGGGGGGAGGACACCTGAAGTGTACTGCACTTGATAGCCTGTTGAGCGGCTGTGCAGATTAGAGGGAATTTAGCTGGAAATTGTGATCAAGGAAACAGCACTTTGTGTACATTCTTTGTAGATGGCACTAAAAAAATGCCTGCCTCATATTATCACTCTTCTCTTAATGGATACAGTCTGGCAAGGCCCTGAATATTGCCTAACCGCTCAAGTCAAGGAGCAATTCTGTTCTTGAGGTCAGTGAGGAGTTTGACAATTAGTGCTATTACTTGCCATTTACATTACCGAATAGTCACAAGATTTAGTGTGATCACATTTTGAAGAAAATCTGAAAAGTTTTCAAATGTTTTTTCAGTTAGAAATATATTTCAAATGGAAACTTTGTATTAGTTTTGGGCCCCATATGTGTCTCTCTTGTAGAAGACAACTGCAGTCACTGGATGCATTATAGTGATGCCACCAAAACCAGAAGTGGATGGGCCCAGGAATTATTACATGAGTTCAAAAGCAATGTTGAATTGCTTAAACAGGCTGTGAAGGATCATAATATAGATACTTCTACTAAATCCCCACCTCATGGTTCTCCTCCAAACATACAAACAGGTACTTTGTCTCTGGTCACAAGTTTTATTGCTTACGTTTAATGTTCATTGGAGGCACAGTGTATCCTAAATTAGGTTGTTATTTTAAATGACTTTACCATTCTTGTTTCCTACAGGCAAGGAACACCAGATACCTAAAGGAACTTCTAGGGCTTCTTCTGTATCTCCCCAACAACCGAAGGATAAACTCATGTCCAGTCCTGTTGTTGTTAGACTTGCAGATTTCAATATATACCAGGTATGGTTTTTTTCCCCCCAGTTGGTGAATTTGGGGTCGCTTTGTCCCTTGACTGCTTTACCTCTGATGTATATTAGCCATAATTTTTAAGGGCCTGATCCAAAGTCCATTGATGTCAATAGGACTCTCTCCATTGACTATATCGGTTATTGAACTAGACTCTTATGGCTTGCTCTTTTTGATATTAAAATATGAATATCAATGGAATTTTTGTCATTGATTTAATGAGAGTAAGACTTTGGATCTGCAAGGGATCTGCTGTAATATAAAAACATCACCTACAGATGCTGTAGTTTAGAATCTTATCCTTTCATTGTGTCATGCGGAGTATTCAAGGGATTCACTGTTTTAGCATGTAGTTTTAGATTTCTCATTTTTAGGGTTTCATATTCTCTGTTTAAATATATGCTGAATTGATTTTTCGGTGTAATGTTTAAACTGATTTAACATTTCATTATTAATATTTTACTTCAAGTGATATCTTTTTAATGAACTTTTTGACATTCATTTTTTTTTGTTATTTGCTGCTGTTTTAATTACTCTCTCAGGTCCAGATTCACTCTCACAGGCATAGGAAGGGGGCAGCTGCACCGGAAGAGTACTTATCTCCAGGAGGCAATGGTATTGGGGCGGTACTCTGCTTGGGAAGGCAGCTTTAAATTTCAGCTGAAGTCCCATAGTAATCTTGCCAGCAGAGGATGCCTGAGATGTGTGCTTCATGAATGCATCTTCCAGCCACTCTAACCTTGCCCCTTTCCAGGCTTTGGGTGCTATGCCCGCTCTAGTCTCCCTGTTAGAGTGGAGGTTGCAGCTTGCTACCAGAATCTCACATTTGGAATTTAAATTTTTTTATACACTTCAGTAATTGCATAATTTTATGAAATGTTTGTTTCTTAGTTTGATAGAAGTTTTAAATTTAATTTGCTTCTTTTCAGTTGCTTTACTCTCTCTTTTTGCCCTCTCTCTATTATTACTTCACATTGTTTTTGTAGGACAGCTAGGAAGCTACTTATTTTAAGTAGATGTATTTGTGAAAAGACGGTTACTCACCGTTGTAACTGTTGTTCTTCGAGACGTGTTGCTCATATCCATTCCAATTAGGTGTGAGCGCGCCGCGTGCATGATCGTCGGAGAATTTTCTACCCTAGCAACACCCGGTGGGTCGGCTGTGGAGCCCCCTGGAGTGGCGCCTTCATGGCGCTGGATATATACCCCAGCCGACCCAGCGCCCCCTCAGTTCCTTCTTGCCGGCTACTCCGACAGTGGGGAAGGGGGGCGGGTTTGGAATGGATATGAGCAACACATCTCGAAGAACAACAGTTACAACGGTGAGTAACCGTCTTTTCTTCTTCGAGTGCTTGCTCATATCGATTCCAATTAGGTGACTCCCAAGCCCCACCTAGGTGGCGGGGTCGGAGTGAGACATTGCTGTGTGCAGAACCGCTGACCCAAAAGCAGCATCGTCTCTGGATTGTTGCACCAGCGCATAGTGAGCAGCAAATGTGTGGACCGATGACCAAACTGCAGCTCTACAAATGTCCTGGATCGGGACTTGAGCCAGGAAGGCAGTTGAGGAGGCCTGTGCCCTCGTGGAATGAGCGGTAAGGCGTGGCGTCAGTACACCGGCCAGGTCGTAACAAGCACGAATACAGGACGTGATCCAGGAGGAGAGGCACTGTGAAGAGACCGGTGAGCCTTTCATCCAGTCGGCCACTGCAACGAAGAGTTGTCGTCTTTCTAAATGGCCTTGTACGGTCAATATAGAAGGCCAGGGCCCTGCGTACGTCCAAAGAATGCAAACGCTGGTCTTGACGAGTAGCGTGTGGTTTCAGATGGAAGACCAGGAGAAATATATCCTGGTTCACGTGGAAAGGTGAAACCACCTTGGGAAGAAAGGCAGGGTAGGGGTGAAGCTGCACCTTGTCCTTATGGAACACAGTATATAGGGGCTCGGACGTAAGCGCTCTGAGTTCAGAAACGCGCCGTGCTGAGGTGATGGCTACAAGGAAGGCTGTCTTCCAGGATAGGTACAGGAGGGAACAGGTAGCCAATGGTTCGAACGGAGGCCCCGTGAGCTTGGAAAGAACCAGGTTAAGGTCCCATGTTGGCACGGGCTGGCGTTGCTGCGGGTACAGCCGGTCTAAGCCCTTGAGGAATCTAACGACCATCGGGTTAGAGAAGACCGAGGAAGCGAGTTCTCCTGGGTGGAATGCTGAAATAGCGGCGAGGTGAACTCTGATTGAAGATAACGCCAGGCCCTGCTGTTTTAGGTATAGGAGATACTCAAGTATGAGAGGAATAGGCGCCTGCAAGGGGGACGTAGCTCGTTGCTCGCACCAACAGGAGAACCGTTTCCACTTTGCTAAGTAAGTGGTCCGTGTAGAGGGCTTTCTACTTCCCAGCAGAATCTGCTGGACGGGCTGCGAGCATTGCCGCTCTGTCTGATTCAGCCATGGAGCATCCACGCTGTGAGGTGGAGCGATTGCAGGTCGGGGTGACACAGCCGGCCGTGGTCCTGAGAGATGAGATCGGGACATAAGGGAAGCGTGATCGGTGTTTGAACCGACAGCTCCACCAGTGTGGTGTACCAGTGCTGTCTCGGCCAAGCTGGAGCGACTAGAATTACCCGTGCATGGTCTCTGCGGAGCTTGAGCAGTACCCTGTGGACCAGTGGAAATGGAGGGAACACGTAGAACAGGTGGGCTTTCCAGGTTAGGAGGAACGCGTCCGATAGAGAGCCCAGCGCTCGCCCTTGTAGGGAGCAGTATGCCTGACACTTCCTGTTGGATCGAGACGCAAACAGGTCGACCTGGGGAAATCCCCACCTCTGGAAGACGGAATAGATGATGTCCGGACGAATTGACCACTCGTGCGTCTGGAAGGACCTGCTGAGACGGTCCGCCAGCGTATTCTGGACTCCAGGAAGGAACGATGCCGTGAGATGTATCGAGTGGGCGATGCAGAAGTCCCACAGGCGAATGGCCTCTTGGCATAGGAGAGATGAGTGGGCTCCGCCTTGCTTGTTGATGTAAAACATGGCCGTGGTGTTGTCCGTGAGAACCAACACGCAACGGCCCTGTAGGAGATTGAGAAAAGCCTGGCAAGCCAGGCGCACCGCCATCAGCTCGCAAACATTGATGTGTAGGGCTAGCTGGGGTGCAGTCCACAAGCCCCGAGTATGGTGCTCCCCGAGGTGAGCGCCCCATCCTAGAGATGAAGCGTCCGTGACCAGGTGCAGGGAGGGTTGAGGGGCGTGAAACGGCACTCCTGCGCAAACCGCCCTGCGATCCAACCACCAGGTGAGGGAGGTCAGGACCGAATTCGGAACCGTGACCACCATGTTTAGGTTGTCCCGATGAGGACGGTACACCGATGATACCCAGGTCTGAAGTGGGCGAAGCCGCAGTCTGGCATGCCTGGTTACGTAAGTACACGAGGCCATGTGACCCAACAGGGCGAGGCACGACCTTATCGTGGTAACCGGAAATGTCCTGAGCCCTTGGATGACGCTTGTGATGGTATGAAAGCGATTGTCTGGCAGAATGGCTCGGGCACGTCTGGAGTCTAGGATTGCTCCAATGAATTCTATCCTCTGGGTTGGCACTAGAGTGGACTTCTCTCTGTTGAGTAGAATGCCCAGCTCGTGGAAAGTTTGTGTCACTATGTGGACGTGAGCTTGAACTTGGTCTCTGGTGCGGCCGCGTACCAGCCAGTCGTCCAAATACGGGAACACCTGTACCCCTTGTCGACGAAGGTATGCCGCGACGACCGCCACACACTTTGTGAACACTCTGGGAGCCGAGGACAAGCCGAAGGGGAGGACTGCAAATTGGTAGTGCACCATGTTTACTACAAATCGCAGGAAGCACCTGTGAGGCGGATAGATTGCTATATGGAAATATGCGTCCTTCATGTCGAGGGCGGCGAACCAGTCTCCAGGATCCAGGGAAGGGATAATGGTCCCCAATGATACCATGCGGAACTTCAACTTTACTATGAATTTGTTGAGTCCGCGCAAGTCTAAGATGGGCCATAGACCCCCTTTTGACTTGGGGATCAGGAAGTAGCGGGAATAAAACCCCCTGCCCCTTAACTCTGGTGGAACCTCCTCTATGGCCCCCATAGAGAGGAGCCCAAAAACCTCCTGTGTAAGGAGTTGCTCGTGAGAAGGGTCCCTGAAGAGGGACGGGGAGGGGGAGTGGGAGGGGGGGGACGAGGAAAACTGGAGAGCGTATCCCCTCTCCACCGTGCGAAGGACCCAACGGTCCGAGGTTATAAGGGACCAAGCACGGTGGAAACGGGAGAGGCGATCCCGAAAGGGGGGAGTTGGATCCTGGGTACTGGTTGTGGTGCCGTCCTCAACCGCACCTTCAAAAGTTCTGCCTAGGGCCTGAAGGTGGCCTAGGCGGTCCCTGGTTTTGAGCCGGTTGAGGGCCGGTCGACCTTCGCCTACCACCTCGACCCCGCCTTCTGGCAAAGTCCTGTCTCGGACGAGGCGGGGGAGGATAGAACCTCTGAGGCTGGGGCCTGAAGGGTCTGCGCTGAGGCCCTGGGACATGCATCCCCAGGGAGCGCATCATTGTCCTTGAGTCCTTAAGGTTCTGGAGCTGAGAGTCCGTCTTCTCGGAAAACAGGCCCTGGACCTCAAAGGGTAGATCCTGCAGGGTCTGCTGCAGTTCTGGCGGCAAGCCTGACACCTGGAGCCAAGAGATTCGCCGCATGGCTATACCCGAGGCCAGAGTTCTAGCGGCCGAGTCTGCAATATGTAAGGAGGCCTGTAAGGAGGTACGTGCCACCCTCTTACCCTCCTCTACTAAGGCCCCGAACTCTTCCCTTGATTCTTGGGGGACCAGTTCTTTAAATTTCCCCATCGATGTCCAGGAATTGAAATTATAGCGGCTTAAGAGCGCCTGTTGGTTGGCCGCTCTAAGTTGTAGCCCTCCCGCCGAATAAACCTTGCGTCCAAACAAATCGAAGCGCTTAGCGTCCTTCGATTTGGGCGCTGCAGCCTGCTGGCCGTGGCGCTCCCGTGCATTCACTGACGACACCACCAGTGAGCACGGTTGGGGATGGGTATAAAGGTACTCGTGGTCCTTGGAGGGAACGAAGTACTTTCTTTCCACCCCTCTGGCTGTGGGTGGAATAGAGGCAGGGGTTTGCCAGATCGTAGTGGCATTAGCCTACGTATGAGCGGTAACGCCACTCTGGATGGGGCATCAGCTGAGAGGATGCTCACCACCGGGTCCTGTACCTCCACGATCTCCTCCGCCTGGAGGTCCATATTGCGCGCCACCCGGCGCAACAGGTCCTGGTGGGCCCAAAGGTCTATAGGGGGCGGGCCCGTGGCGGTTGTGCCCGCCACCGCCTCATCGGGGGAAGATGAGGAGGATGCCTCCGGTGGCAAGGGGTCTAATGGCGGGTCCTGCTCCAGGGGTTCGTGGAGCTGGGCATCGCCTGACCCTGGGTCCAGGGCCGCAGTAGGTGTAGGCACGGGAGCCACCATTCCCCTTGGGGGAGGGCGGGAGATGGTGGCCTCCGGGGCCCTGGGCTCGGAACGTGCCGAGCGAGAGGCTGATGGTGGTGGAGCCCCCTGCGCCTGATGATAGGCCCACGGAGTCCAAAAGGACCAGTGCGCAGGTCCCTGTGCAGGGTCCTCGGTCGCCTCCTGCCAATGGCCCAAATCAGCCGTAGCCGCCTGACCCTGAGGAGGGTACGCCGATCTGGAGGCCCGCTCGGAGGAGCGAGATGCCGATCTCGAGGGCCAAGGCGGTGCCGAACGCGACGAAACCGGCTCCGGATGGTACGGTGCCGATCGGTGCCGGTCATAAGGGGATCGGTCCCTGTGCGGTGCCGGTGAGCGGTGCCGGGATCGGTGCCGGTAGCCGCGTCAGTGCCGAGAACCGGACCTTGAGCGGGACGACGACCGCGACGAGAGCTGGTACCGGGAGCGGCCCCTGGAAGTCGAGCGGCGCTCATACCGGTGCCGAGAACTACGCCTGGAGTCCGATCGGTGCCGATGATCGCGACGGTGCCGAGACGTAGAGCGGTGCCACGAAGAGGATCTTGGCCGCGAGTACGACCGGTGCCGAGGTGATAGTCGGCGCCGGGACTGCGAGCGGCGTCAGGACCTGCTCCGAGACCTGGAGCGGTGCCGAGAGTCCATGGCCGGAGACGGTGGGCGCACTAGGGCAGGCTTGCCCCTGGATTGCACTGCGCGGGGAGCCAACGGTGCCGGAAGTTGAGACGGTGCTGGCTCCATGAGGGCAATAAGGTCTCTCGCCGTCGCAAATGTCTCCGGGGTGGAAGGGAGACAAGGCTCCACCACCGACCGAGGTGGTGATACAGTCCGCACCGGACTCAACGGCCTCGGTGCCGGAGTCGACGGTGTGGCCAGCACCTGCTTTTGGCGGTCCAAAGGCGGACGCGGCTCTACCCCCGGCACTGGGGGAGCCGGCGTCTTCAGGACAGCAATGTCCTGCGCCTTACGGGCTTTCTTGTGGCCCGGAGATAGGGACCGGCGCCGAGTCCCTTGAGGCGGGCGCGGTGCCAAAGTCGGCCGGTGCCGTGAGGACTTGTCTGCAGTACCGGTCGGAGCCGCCGGGGCGCTGCGCACCGAGGCGCTCGGTGCCGGGGCTGGGCGCGCCGAGGGAGGATCCGGGCTAAGTGCCGCCTCCATTAGGAGCTGCCGAAGTCTAAAGTCCCGCTCCTTTCTTGTTCGTGGCTTGAAGGCCTTACAGATGGGACACTTATCTGCCTGATGGGATTCTCCAAGGCACTTCAGACAGGAGTTATGCGGGTCACTCATTGGCATAGGCTTAGCGCAGGACGCGCACTGCTTAAAGCCAGGAGCCTTGGGCATGAGCCCGGCTGTGCGCCGGGGGAAAAAGGGGGGAGAACAACCCCCTTAACCCCCGCTAACTATTTACAACTATAACGAAGTAAAATGAATAACTATCTAAAGAATTTAACAACTATAACAGAACTATCTACACTAATTAGAAGGATAAGCTAGGGAGAGTGGAGAACAGCTATGCTGCGCTCCACAGTTCCAACGACCGTCAGGGGCGGTAAGAAGGAACTGAGGGGGCGCTGGGTCGGCTGGGGTATATATCCAGCGCCATGAAGGCGCCACTCCAGGGGGCTCCACTGCTGACCCACCGGGTGTTGCTAGGGTAGAAAATTCTCCGACGATCGTGCACGCGGCGCGCGCACACCTAATTGGAATCGATATGAGCAAGCACTCGAAGAAGAAAGTTAAGTTTTGTATTTATGAAATTGTATTTTGCCATGGTATTATTTAGGATTATTATAGGTATTAATACAGACGTGTATGAAATTTAAGATATCTGAACTGGGTGAGAGAGGTTTATACAATTTTACTTGTGTATAATTTCCAACTATACTTCTGCAAAATCAATAAAACAGAAACCAACCAGGATTCTATATTTAAACACTTATTTTGAAGCTATTTTGAAGGTAGGAAGCTGACATACAAAAGCACTGGATGCGAGCGTTTTTAGTTTGGCAGACATTTCTTAAGTTAGTCCACACCCAAATCTTAAGCAATCAGAAGAGCCAGATAAATTATGTACCAAAAGTAACACTTCTTTATTGTTGCATAATTTACTTTGGAGGCAATTAATGTAAAGTTTGTGTAACATTTATATTGTTAAAAGCACAAGTGGAGAGATGTCGTTCTACTAGGACTTGATTCTGCTACTGTGTGGACCTCGGGGTGTTGCTGAGCCCAAAGAATCCTGCAGTAGCTTACTGAGCACCCTGCTGAGCAGCATGTGATCCAAAGCTTGTCCCTGGAGAGATGGTGCACAAGCTGCAGTGCACATGGCTCCAGAACAGTGCAGAGAGAGGGGAATTTTGTCTGTAGTCGCCTCTCCAGCTGGCTGAGCTGGGAACACCATGGGCTGGCCATCTTTCAGGCAAACCCCTTCTCTGGCAGACCTGCCTGTATTTTGGTCCGTGGTGTTCTTGGTGAAGCTGCTGGGTCCCTACAGGTCCTTGCCTGATTCTTGTCTGTGGATATCCCCTTGTCTGCTGCATGCACCTACTGCTTCCCATACACACATGCACAGGGACTATAGTGCCATGCCCTGACTCCATCCATTACCATGCCCCTTCTGGCCTCTGTGTACTCTCTTGGAGATGAGTGTATGCAGACTGCCTCTATTACATGATAGTCATGTATGCATTGCTCTCTGCGATGGGTGCAGTTGGGAATCTACATCAGTGGGGTTACCATGCCAGTGCTCAGTGTGTTGTAGATCCCATCTGTGAGGTTGCACTATCCCTTGCACCACTGGCAGAATCAAGCATTTTTAATGACTCACAAAAATAGTTACATATTGAAAAAACTGAACATTTGTCATTTGTCTTTTGCAGGTCTCTACAGCAGACCAATGTCGTTCTTCCCCTAAAACTCTGATTTCTTGCAATAAAAAGTCACTTTATCTTCCACCAGAAATGTCAGCTATTCATATTGAATTCACTGAATACTACTATCCAGATGGAAAAGACTATCCTAGTAAGGTTTTTGTTCTGAAAAATAAATCTCTTGCATTATTTTCCCTTTTGCGAAGCCTAATGGTAGCTTGAGACCTAATGGAAATATTGATTCAAGTTTGACATTCAAAAATGGTGAAAAGCTTTTTGCACTGAATTAATTGTAAAATTACTTTTGTGAACATAACACTTCACCATTTTACTGATGTTTGCATTGATTTTTGTAAATGCTACGTTTTAAGTACAAAAATGTGCATGACATTTTTACCAAGAAATAAAATACTGATTCTACAATATATATACATTTTTTGCACTCCTCTGCTGTACAAAAGAAATCACGCTATTGCAGACCTACCAAAGATGTAACAAAAGGTCTGCTAGAGTTATTTTAGTAACATGTGACAGGGTTCAACATTCTCTCATGTAAGGAAATCCCAACAGGCTTCCTGGGGATGATGCTCGGGACAGAAGCTCTTCTTTGGCCCTGCCATTTTCTTTTAACTGTGGTGCCCACCTCCTTTTTATTCTATTTTAATTTAAGTTTTTACATACAGTGATTGGGACATCAGAGAGAGTTAGGAGTGATACACTTAGGCTCCTTCAGTCTACCCTTTCCCATGGCCAAAGGAGTGGGTTTTCCATTTCTTCCATGGCAGAAAGTAGAGGAGATGTCGCTCTGCATTATTAAGCTAAAATAAATGTTGTTTACTGTAATTTTGTTTTGTCTCTTCCTTAGTTCCATGTCCGAACCTTTATGTGCAACTGAATGCTCTGCAGTTCACTCTGGATGAAAGAAGTATTCTTTGGCTAAATCAATTTGCGTTGGATGTGAAACAAAGTCTCAATCAGTTCATGGCCATGTATAAATTAAATGACAATTCAAAATCTGATGAGCATGTTGATGTTAGAGTGGATGGACTTATGTTAAAGGTACTGTATGGAAAGAGTATTTGGGGATTTTTTGGAGCAAAATACATTCTCTTTATCTCTGAAAAGAGTTATTAGCCAAGTAATGAAAAAAGGAGAATATGCTTACAGAGTATGATGGTCTAAGGAAAGATGTGTGAGGCAGAACAGAGGACATGGTGTAGCAGACCACCATCGCTTCTGGACATAGCCCCTCGATGCAAAGTAGTCAGTAGGTTTGGCTAAAAGTCCCATTGGCAACAGGCCATCCTGGCATTGCTGAGAGTGGAAAGTATGCCTGGATCACATACTTACAGTTCAGATCTCTGTGTGCGCAATTGTACCTCTAATATGCAGAGAACAGTAGTAACTTGCCATCATTTTTTAGTTGTGAGATCTACAGCTTTTTGAGGGTGTCATATGTTATAAGAGTGTCTTCTTGACATGTGTCTGATCATGCCTTTTTCCTGCTCTTTGTAGAACTGCAGCTGTTTGACGGTGATCCTTTAGCATTGTGGTTCTTGAGGGGAGAGTGAAGGTTAAGCAGTTTTGTTATGCACAGTGAGAATTTTTCCTTTTTTGTAGTAAGATACTACAGACTGTACTCCCCTCCACATCATGAAGCTGTAAAGGCCTTATGAAATTGATGTACTAGAGAGATGAACTCCTGAGATATAAAGATATGATCAGTTATCAGTTTGTGCACTTTTGAAATTCATTTTAGTTGGCTTTCAGCTGAGAAACAAACAAGATTTCAAAATGCAATTAAATTGTCATAAATGGCACCGCATAATAAGTTTATCCCTGTGAATGGCAAGGAAAACTCAAAGAAAAGGGGAAACAGACTCCATAATTGCCATTTTTACAGATATTGCAATATTTAAGGCTTATCCGAATGGGGAGGTAATGCGCTTTACCACGGTGTGATTTCTAAAGCATGCTAATGTGTTGCACTTTAAATTGTTCTGTGTAGACCCTGCTAATGCGCTTTAACATACTGCTATTTCAAACAATATTACATTAAAGTGCACTAGGGAACCTTTAGTGCACACTAGCAGGGTCTACCCGGACCAATTAATGTGCAACACCTTAGTGCACTTTAGAAATCACACTCCTGTAAAGTACATAACCCCACCATGTAGACAAGCTCTTAGTATGAAAGTGTGATGCTTTAAATGAAACTTCCTAAATATGCATTTAATATTTTTATTAATATTACAATAATAGATATTGTAAGTCACACAAATACTGATTATGAAAATGTACTTGTGGTGTAATGAATACTTACAAATTTGGGATCTAACCCAGCATCCAGTTAATTACATGAGTAACTTTACTCACATGAGTAATTCCATTTAAGATAATAGGACAAGTTACTTATGTGCCCCACTGTATGATTCCCTATGCCCTAACATTGCAAATGGATTCAGCCATAAAGATCCATAAAGTAAAAGCTGTGTTATCTGGAACTTTACCAGCCGGAAAGCTCTATAAACCGGCATTTCTGCTCTTCATTGAAAGTTTGGTTTATAGTCTGGGTGGCGCCAGGCTGGCGCCAGGCTGGCAGGTTCCCTACCTGCCTCCACGTGGCTCCCCAGAAGCGGCAACATGTCCCTGCTGCTCCTAGGTGGAGGAACAGCCATGAGGGGTTTGGAGTGTGGGAGGGGGTGCAGGGCTCAGGCTCTGGGAGGAAATTTGGGTGTGGGAGGGGGCTAGGGGCAGGGGGTTGGGCCAGATCTGGGCAGCGCTCACCTCAGGCGGCTCCCCGCAAGCGGCAACAGGTCCCTGCTGCTCCTAGGCGGAAGCGTGGCTAAGTGGCTCTGCACGCTGCCTCCACCTGTAAGCGCTGCCCCCACAGTTCTCATTGGCCACCATTCCTGGCCAATGGGATCTGCGGAGCCAGCGCTCAGGGTGGAGGCAGCGCGCAGAGCTGCCTAGCTACACCTCCGCCTAGGGCAGTGGCTCTCAACCAGGGGTCTGGGGCCCCCTGGGGGGGCCGCAAGCTGGTTTCAGGGGGGCCTCCAAGCAGAGCCAGCGTTAGACTTCCTGGGGTCCAGGGCTGAAAGCTGAAGCCCCATCACATGGAGCTGAAGTCCAGGGCCCTGAGCCCCAACACCCAAGGCTGAAGCCAAAGCCTGAACAATGTAGCTTTGTGGGGCCCCTGTGGTATGGTATGGGTTTTATATGTAGAAAACCAGTTATTGTGGCACAGGTGCGCCATGGGTTTTTTATAGCCTATTGGGGGGCCTCAGAAAGAAAAAGGTTGAGAACCCCTGGCCTAGGGGACATGTCATCGCTTGTGGGGAGCCACCCGAGGTGAGCGCCACCCGGATATGGCACCCCGTGCCCCAACCCCCTGTCCTGAGCCCCCTCCTGCACCCAAACTTCCTTCCCCCTTACTTAACCGGAATTTTTCACTTACTGGCACTCCCCACTACCCCAACAGGCCAGATAACAAAGCTTTTACTGTACCTAAGTGATGTCCCATTGATCCCACTGGGATTATGTGTGGTGTCAGGGATCTGTGTTAGCAGATCCTGATGCAAGATCAGGGTCTAAAATATTATTTCCTTTTTTACACGTGGACTGTAAAGATGTGCAATTCAAGATTATTCTAGCACACTGTGGAATACTTCAAGGTTTAAGAGTTCTAATAAATTTACTTTTATAATAACAAAAAAAATTGTTAATGCAACATTAAGGCTGAGATGTTCAGCTAACTTTAAAACAATTGAACAGATTTTTCATTAAACTGTCTAGGTTAGCTCAGAGGTAATTTTGTAAAGCATTAGAAACTTCAGCCCAGTGTAACCATCCTGCATATTTCAAAAAAGAAAAGCCAGAGGCCCTGTCATGGACATTGCATGGACATTGAGATTCATGGCAATTTTCTTATGAACAGATTTGTGTGTCATCGCCTTGGTCGAAATTTGGGAAACCCAGATGAAAAGCTGCAGAACCAGGAGCCTGGCCTCTCCTGTTCTGTATTAGTGTACATGTCATCCTACAAAACTTTAACTTCATTCATTTATTTTACCTCACATAACTATTGTTTTCTTTAAAACTGTGTGTACCTTTATAATCTACTTTGTAACTAGATGAATATATTTTCTATTGCAGTTTATCATTCCCTCTGAAAAGAAACCTGAAATCCATAAAGATCAGCCACGTGCAATTTCTATTCAGAGTTCTGAATTGATTGCTACAAACACAAGGCACTCGCCAAACTGTAGACATTCTGACCTGGAAGCCTTGTTCCAGAACTTCAAAGATTGTGAATTTTTCAGTAGAACTTTCACCAACTTTCCAAAATCTCATGACAGTTTTAATCTTCTGCACCCAATCTTCCAGAGACATGCTCATGAACAAGATACTAAAATGCATGATGTTTATAAAGGTTATATCACCCCAAAGCTAAATAAATATACACTAAAAACATCTGCTGCAACTGATGTCTGGGCTGTGCATTTTTCCCAATTTTGGATAGATTATGAAGGAATGAAAAGTGGGAAAGGCCGACCAATAAGCTTTGTGGATTCATTCCCACTCTCCCTTTGGGTTTGCCAGCCAACGAGATTTGCACAGTCACAAAAGGAACTCTTTTCTTATTATCAGACACCTTTTAACATTCCAAGAAGTGACTCTAGTGACCTAGCTAATAGACTTCAGCGCAAAAAACTTTTGAGGGAATATTATAGCAATGAGACAGAGCCCTTGACCAATGGCATTCAAAAGCTTCATCCTTCAGACAGCACTTCGGGAGTTCTGTCTGCAAGTTCTTCCTCTGATGCAGATGTACATGTCCTTGTTCATATTCAAAAACATGTGAGCATGCAAATCAATCATTACCAGTTCCATTTCTTATTGTTGCTCCATGACTCCCTTGTATTGCTCCTGGAAAACCTAAGGAAAGATGTAGAAGCAGTGACAGGCAAACCTGCCCAACAAACAGATGTCTGCATTGGGATCTTACTTGAAAGTGCAGAAATAGCTCTATTGCTCCATCCAGTGGCTCAAGCAAAACCCTGCAAGTCTCCAGTTTTGGAAGAAGAAAGTCTCATGGCAGAAGATCTTTCACCTTTGGAAAATGAGGAAACTCTTGTATCAGAGAGTAAACTAATAACTAATGATATAACACAGACTGATAGTGTGGATATTAATTATGTAACTGAGTCCGCGAGCACTGAGGTTAACAAAGTCATTTTGATGGACCCCCTTCTTTTTAAATCAGATAGTGATATGGATTTTCAGAAGGGTATATCATTTTCAGATGATGCATTGGATACGTGTTTGGGGAAAACAAATGAAGATGATTGTAGTGGACTTTTTAGTAGGAGTGATTCAGAAGAAGTTTGTGTAGCATTAAGTGACAAAAGTAGCTTGTATTCTAGGGATTTGGTGAATGTTTTAAATAACAGAGAAGATTGTATTGAGTTATTCACTGATAAAGAGGATGACAAAAATATTTTTTCAAATAAGTTATCTGATCAGAAAAGTGGAACTGAAGGCTCTCCTGTTAAAGTGGCAGACTTAGAACCAGAAACAGCCTTGCAATCTGAAGAGCTTGAAATCAACAAAGAAAAAGTGTCTACAGTTAGAATGCTTGCAACCCAGTCTACATTAAGGTATAAAAGATTTTATATTTTAATTAGTGAGTTCACTCTTTATGTCCCAGGAAAAGTTAGTTGATAATACAAGTCAAATAAAATTAATAATTGCCAGAGATCAGGGATCAGCAACCTTTGGCACGCACCCCGTCAGGGAAAGCCGCTGGCAGGCCGGGATGGTTTGTTTACCTGCAATGTCCACAGATTCAGCCGATTGCAGCTCCCACTGGCTGCAGTTCGCTGCTCCAGGCCAATGGGGGCTGCGGGAAGTGGCGCGGGCCGAGGGATGTGCTGGCCGCTGCTTCCTGCAGCCTCCATTGGCCTGGAGCAGTGAACCGTGGCCAGTGGGAGCTGCGATCAGCTGAACCTGCGGATGCTGCAGGTAAACAAACCGGCCCAGCCCGCCAATGGCTTTCCCTGATGGGCTGTGTGCCAAAGGTTGCCGATCCCTGCCATAGATAATAGAACTGAGAATTTAGTAGTTCAAAACAGATATCATTTTAAGCATTAATAAATTCTGTAGATATGCAGTGACAGTGGAATCCCCCAATAAATTAGGGTTAAAAATTGAACATTCTGTTAACTAAACATTTAATTGTTTACAGATACTGTATTTTCATATTCTTGAATAAATAGTTGTGAAAAATATAAATAATTGACGCATGTCTACAACATAATTTATAGAGCACGGTGAATGAATGCTCTACTTTGTTTACCTCTATTTTTTTCCCCCCTAAGGCAGTGTTTCCCAAACTTGGAATGCCGCTTGTGTAGGGAAAGCCCCTGGCGGGCCGGGCCGGTTTGTTTACCTGCCCCATTTGCAGGTTCCGCCGATCGCGGCTCCCACTGGCCGCGGTTCGCTGCTCCAAGCCAATAGGGCTCCAGGCCAGTGGGAGCCGCGATCAGCGGAACCTGCGGACAGGGCAGGTAACCAAACCGGCCTGGCCCGCCAGGGGCTTTCCCTACACAAGCGGCGTTCCAAGTTTGGGAAAGACTGCCCTAAGGATTACAGAATTATTTTGTATTACATACCAATGTTTCTTTAATTTTGTTCCTGTGTTGGAGGATTTTGATTTCTTTTCTAGAATTCTTTTCATTTTAAGTAATAATTTCCTAATATCTTTATATTAAAAAGTGGAAAGCCTAAGGAACGCTGCCAGTCCAACCTCCCTGCATTCTCTGTTTCTTATAAGAACATGAAGAGAAGTCCATCACAAGTCTCTTTGGATACCATTTCTATTGATAGTATGATGTTAGAAGAACATTTGCTAGAGAGTGATGGAAGTGACAGCCAAAGCTTTATGGAGAAAGGTAAACAAATTTAACAAAATAATTACATACAATACATGAAAGTATTATCTAATAGTGTGCTAACAGAATATAGTGGGCTAAATCCTGTTTGGTTTACTCAAGCAGTTCTATTTACTGCACCAGTTGGTGGCACCAAATATTTTCCTACTTAGATGAAAGATATAATTTAAAAATAAACTGACAATTGACTCGGTTATTACCTCTTTCAAGGATGGTGGTTGTGGTGGTTTTTGTTTTTTTGTTTTTTGGAGGAGGGAACCAAATTATAGTGCTGTTGTAGGACCAGGAATTCCTTGGAACTACTCCTATTAGTGGACTGTAGGCCAGCAGTAGATGTTTGCAGGATTGGACTCTAAATTATGGTGTTGTTTTACCATTGCAAATGTGTATCAAGATATTTGGTTTTAAAAATGAGGGGATGGGTAAGTGGTTTTCTTTGGCATTAACACCAGCAATGCTAATAACCAAACAGACAGATTTGACTCTCTCCTCATGGTGCAGTTTGTATTTATTGGCTGAATTCTGCTATCAGGTGGATGTCCAACTTCTGATTATTTCAGTGGGAGCCATTTGTGGGTATCTGAGGGAGAAATTTGGCCTGATGTTGAATATCTGTTAGTTTTAGATAATCTGTAGTACTGTGGGGTTATGTAAATTATGATGAGCTTCTAAGAGAAGGCCGATGAAATAATTTAGTTAAAAAGTAACACATACAGTAGCAAGACTCTAAAAAGGTCAGTTTCCTCTGTACTCCTATCTTCCATCTGGATAGAAAAGTATTCTCAGCCCATATGTTCTTAACAAAATAAAGCTTTAACAAAAGAAAATAATATAGCCTGCCTGAGTATTTCTATAAACAGAAGAACTGTAGCCACTTACACTAAAGGCTTTGAAAATGTATCTATACATATTTGGCAGATCAGTAACTTTTGGAGGACTTTAACAAACTTCTCACAGGGTGAAATTCACTTCTGTTGTGGAAGACCAGAGCAGGGCCCTTCTCACCTAAGGTCTGGCCTACACTAGAGGGGGGGATTGACCTAAGATATGCAACTTCAGCTACGAGAATAGCGTAGCTGAAGTTGACTTATCCTAGTTCGACTTGCCTCGCGTCCTCATGGCGCGGGGTTGATTGCCGTGGCTCCCCCGTCGACTTTGCTTCCGCCTCACGCCGAGCTGGAGTTCAGCAGTTGACGGGAGAGCGATCAGGGATCGATTTATTGCGTCTACACTACACGCGATAAATCGATCCCCGATAGATCGATCGCTACCTGCCAATCCAGAGGGTAGTGTAGACATACCCTAAAAGTACATGAAATGGCCGTATAGGGGGCTTGTACATCCCCTCTGCACTGTGAAAGATCTCTATGCCAGCCCATGTATACTGGCATGGAAGCCACAATGAATTGGCTGCATTAGGCAGGAAAGGGGTCATATGTTCATGTGGATCCAGTATCCTGTGTAAAAGACATGGAAGAGCTATAGGTGCTATTCCACCCTACAGGCTGGAATAGCAAGCAGTCCATACCATGGCTGCATGGGTTGAAGGAGTGGATTTCATCTCCCTAATTGCTCCACCGTCATACAGTCTGAATACTTGTGTAGATGGAGTGGATTTCACCCAGAGAATATTTTGTGTGAGAGAGATTAGGTGTAGAGAGAGAGAGAGAGAGAGATCAATAAGAACATAGACAAATTAAGAAATTTCCTTTTGTGTTGCCAGTGCTAACTAACAATCAGTTTGCCACATGAGCTTAGTGACATGACAAAAATCAGTATACCTATTATTTGACTAATTTATTTTATTAATTATAAAGTTTTGTTTATTAATAATTATCCAAATAAAAACTTTTATAAAAGATTTAAATATTATTACACATAGTATCTTAATATTAATGCATGAACAATTCAGATTACATTATATTGACCTTTCATATTTTTCTGATGATATGCATATGGAAGCTATCACAGGCATGAATTACCAAAGGCCAGCAGAAAGCGTGCAAGACGAAGTCACAGGAGTTGACAATTATGGTGGGTCATCTCCAGATGCCATCAGTGCAGCTTCAGAGAGTGCTCAAGAGACTAATGAAGAAATGGTAATGTTATTGAAATTCATTAAAGGAGCAAGTTTAGTAAATTAAACAGTAACTGACATTAAAGTGGTGCTGAAATATTTGTTTTTTATTTTAAAGGTGACTTGAAAATAGTTTTTAAAATTCATTAGCTATGTAGATTTATATTCTGAATGCTCCAATAACAAGTAAGGGTGAATGTAAACACATAATTGATTTTAGATTTTTCTTCTTTTTAGGGTCTCTGAAGTTGAAGATTAACTACTTCTGTTCCAAGTAATGCCCAGTATGTACTATGCTGGTGGCATTACACCCACTTTGGAGACCTGGAGTATGGAGATGTCCTCTTGAAAGGTCAGTTAAGTGGCTTTTTTCTTTTTTAATATATGGCATGGTTTTGTGAATTTTTTTAATATGAATATATATATATAACCCAAAGTGTAGAACATATTTACTGTAATCTTTGTGTCACCATGCCCTGTAGTTTAATTAAAAAAAAAAAAAAAAA